AAATGCAATATGGGTATCATTTTCGAGGTACTTGGGGGTGCTCATTACGTATATGGCACTCATTTCTAAATCCAAGATGGCGGGCACTATTTAAAAAAAAATGCTATGTGGGTATCATTTTCGAGGTATTTGGGGATGCTCAATGTGAATATGGCACTATTTGTAAATCCAAGATGGCGGGCACGATTTTTCAAATAATGGCAAGTTGGGTATCGTTTTCGAGGTATTTGGGGGTGCTCATTACAAATATTGATTTTGTTTGAACTGTCGTGTTTGCCATCTTGGATTTAGAAATGAGTGCCATATTTGTATTGAACATTCCCAAACATCTCGAAAACGATACCCAACTTGCCATTATTCGAAAAATGGCGCCCGCCGTCTTGGATTTAGAAATAAGTTCCATATTCGAAACCTAAAGTCGAAAATGCCATAAGCAAACATTAAAGAAAATAACTGTTAAAATAGATTAAAAAATCGCTTAAGAATGCTCCCCTTTTAAGAAAATAAAATATTTCAATATAAAATATTTCGCTTGAGTTACGAAAAGAAAGACATATAATAAGCTATCAAAGTTGTACTGGTGGTGCCAACACTATAGTAGAAACAAATATATACTGTAAATTTGTTGCAATATGTGCTCCTATTCAAATAAAATTAAAAGAAATAATTATTCAATAAAGCATGAACGCAGAGCCGTTAAAAGTATTATAAAATATTAAGTGTCCCAATCACTTTCATCACAAGTTAACGAAAACATTTAATGTTTATTCAAGTAAATATTTATTGTTCAAGATGCGCAAATAAATCGAAATTACAGGCACCACTAAAATTTACGTAATATAATTATTTTGAAACAGAATAGCAAAATGGTGAGAAAAAAAATTCGTTACTTTGCAACACTTTCGTATCTTGTTGCCTCGAAATTATTTTTCTGTTTTAGTGAATATTTACATAAAAATATGAGTTGAAACGCATTACTTACTTGTGGAATGCGATGTTAGTGTCTATTTTATGTTTGTCTGTTGTATTTTTACACCCATTTACAGCACATTTCGTCATTTTTAGCAAAAAATTTTGGAGCTGTTCGCGGTGCAATATGACCTTGAGCACTAACAGCCCGCGCGCTCCTGGGAGCGCGTTTGGAAGCCTCTAACTTGCCTCACTTAGCGTGTGCGGGCTAGGTTTCTATGCGTTATTATTCTAAGGTTTACTATTAGTATTTTGAAAATGGATCACACAATAAGGAAACTCAAGATACTTAACTGTCATTCAGGAAGTTGTTTAAAGTATTTACTAGCATTACTATTTAAAAATCTATTTTTTGACTAATCCTTCGCATAGTTCGACTAGTACTATCAATGGTTATTTGTTTTATTATACTTCAGTTAGTAATTGAAGATCATTACTTAGTTTATATTAAAGTAATGAATATAATGATGAACAATTAATACTTAAACAAATAATCATTTTATGTGATTTATTTTCCACTAGACTCTACAATTATTATATGATGCTTTATCGGAGGACAGGAAAAAACTCAATTTGAATTGTAACTCGCGATGATATTATTATACTTATGTAGCTCATGACAAAATCGTTATATCAATTAGTTATATAAAAAAGTAGACACGACTAGTGGAGCATGTTCGCTTATGTTAAATAGGACCGTAAGTCTTGTAACAAAAATAGCTGATCTCCATTGGATAATAATGAATAGATTCTGGGGTAACTTTGATTTTTATGGCTATCTTACGCGATTTAACTTTCACTGTAATTTACTTCCATTTTGCTCTGTATTGGAACAAATTATGAAAATTTCAACCTCTCACTGCTGTTCTGCTACCTATGCTAAAGTGTTTAAGCTCGGGAAAATGATAAGAAATCGTTTAATACGCATTTTTTACAGAAACCGGTATAATTCGGTGTGTGGCGGATGTTCGAATTGCACACATTTATAAGGTTTGTTTTTATTTACTTTAAACCACGACCGGGTAATTTTCAGCGTAGTTGTCTCTATTAATATCGGTGGCAATTTTTATTATTTAGATATACGAGTGAAATGTATATTAAATAATATTTTAAGTTACTATATTCGAAAGTTAAATTATATTTCATGATAATATTGTAGAATATTTACTTACATAATAAAACTTGCCACTAAAATTAGTTACAAAAAACTAACCACAAAATTACCCGATTATATGCGATGAGCTACAAAAAGGTAAAGTTTTTCAGGTGCAAGTTATTGTATATAGGATCATTGGGTTCAAGTGTGCAAATCAGTACCTATATGTATTTTTTATTTCAAAACTATGTAGTTGTTATCTTATTTGCGTAATTTAATAGAGTCCTTGGAAATATGCGCAACTAGCTTTCGCACTATATTAAATAATCACAATTATTTTAGCTACCTGAAATATCTCCATTTCTTAAATTTGTATTGTGATTTCAATTATTGTAGTTTTGTTTTAGGATGTAAGAATAATTCCATAGCTATAGAGATTATTGGGTTAAGTTACAAAAGATTATATTTACATAAACAATGTACAAATAACTTTATTTGTGATGCATATTTATAAATAATATTCCGTATTTACTAGTAAAAGTATTAATTAGTTATTTAAATTATGTACTTTGAGGACAAAATGAGCATTTTATTATTGTTTTTTATTTATTTATTTAAATTGATAAACTTATTAATATATGTTAAAATATCACCCTAAAATTTGTAGAGAAGGTAACAGAAATCGGTGTTCAGCTTACATGTCTAAATTCCGATTCCGAAAATGTATATTTGTTAAATACTTAAAGATATAAAAATATAATATTTATTTGAATGTTTTGTTTTAAATACATTATAATGTAATTATTGTTGTTTTTTGTAAATAATGGACTGTGAATATATGCTCTAAACATTTCATTGGTTTCTTTTGTGAAAACATAATTTTCTCAACTCTTGTTGTAAAAAAGTAAGTTTATTATGAGAAGGTTTCTTATAGATGTAGTTTTAATAAAAAGATCCAATTCACGTTTCACTATAATACAATTACAAATTAAACTTCTTAAATAATCAACATGTCTTACAATAATATCACTAACGAAATCTAAAAAGACCTATCCAACCCACCTGCACCTATTAAATAATCGTAGAAATATGAACATTCTATCGTCGAGAGCGTGGAGTCGTAAACGAATTCGAACCCATGTAGGAATTTACTTCAGTCGCTGTATTGGTTAGCGAGGAAGAAGCTCGTCGTTTTTGCTTGCAGGCAACGCGATGTGCCCACGCTAATTCCCGCAAACTTGTACCTTGAGACTTCAAACTAGCGGTTGTCATAGACCTACTTGTTGAAGAACTTTCAGACCATCCCGTGTCGCTCGGTCGACCGCGATTAAATGTAGTCTCTGTTGCCGTATCCGTCAAATAAACATTCACACGGCTCGATTCTGTAAACGAAGGCTTATCAATCTTCAACTGCGCTACTAATGCGTCTATCTGCGGTGGACTTTTCGATTTCTGGGAATTTGGTGACTTCACACTACGCATATCTATCACAGTCTTTTGCAATGGGTCTTCGCCGGAACTCTGTGAGGACGAAATTTCGATATCAGTACTTTCATTGTCGCTTATTAGCACGGGCATTAACTTTTCTGTGTTCTCGTTCATATCGTACACTCGCTGAGTTTTGATAGTTCCCGTTGACGCCGATTTACTTTTTTGTATGGGCGGCGCGGGTCTATTCGTTTTGGTCGAGGTTGACTTACTTGATGGGTAAATATAGTGCGTCGACAACATAGTAGGAACGTTCGTATCCGCGTCAGTATATGTAACATCTTTTCTCGTCCCTGACGAGGACAGCCGCCGCCCAATACAGCAACAAACTCTTCTCGTGCGGCACATTCTGTCTATTAACAATTGCACGCAGCACATCAAGCACCCTATAAAAATAACGATGCCAATGTATAACCGAGGCGTCCAATCCGTGTTTACGTATACTCCAGTCTGTGTGAGCGTTCGCCAAAGATGCCAATTGTTTGGATGTTCTTCTTCGTAGTCGTATAATATATTGCGTCGGGATAAGCCTTTGCCGTAGGTTTGTACTGCGGCTGCGACGCGCAAGACACCTCCTAACCCAGGATATAATTTTTCATCCATAAGATGCGGAGCGACTGATTTCTTCATCCAGTGCCACAGTTCATTATTGAAATTAACAAAATCTGAATGCCGACATCTTGCAGGCGAGCTGTGAAGAATGCATCTTGCTGCAGTTGTGTAGTATTCCAGTAAAATGTTCTCTGATTTCGGCGAATGTAAACTTACAACTCCCCCATTCCTAAACGGCAGCACCATTGCTGAAGGATTATGATCATCGTCCAATTTTGGAATAGGCAAGCGTAAACATTGATTTGGGTACTGTCTTATTGCCAGACAGGAACAAGGGTTACGTAGTTTTCCCAATCCTATGAGAATTTTACGAACGGTTAAGTTCGATTGCTGAGGTGTAATTACAGGTATCTTCCAGCCAATACCTTTCGTATTCAAAATTGTTTTCATATCCTCATATAAATCGTTTAATTTTTGTACGTCGTCGTATGGTACATAACCAGCATAATAAGCAAATTTAACATTGGGCAGAAAATCTTTGCGTAAATGACTTCCTATAGTATCGGCCATAGTTTCCTGGAGTATACCAGCGATGAGTGGGTCCCGACTTTTGTTGACTTGCAGTAGTGCACTACGAAAATATCTTAAAGTTGTTCTAACGTATTTACGATTTATTTTATCTAGAGTTACTTGTGGTGGGATTATGTTCTCTAATATCATCCGTGCGCGAAGTTTTGCCGCTTGATCTGCAGTCCAGCATTCTGGGTAGTATTTACGTTCCTTGAATAAAACAGTGCCTGCACTGCCACTTTCTGCATATAGTGCATTCGAAAATGTCAGTAAAAACATTAGAAACAACATTGAATGTGTAGAATATATCAAAATATTTTAGCATTTTCATTCAAATTCTGCGCCACCAGTGTTTGACTGATCGACCAACCATTTGAAAAATTGAAATGACATACTATATTTTTTGTAGTATTTGCTTTGGACATAAGGTTGTTGACGATTTGTGCGGGTGCGGCAAAGTTGGCGATTTGAATCACATATTTTTAAATTGCCCTCTATGTGATCGTTCCTCTCTTATCCAATTCCAGCTGCTTTTCACTTTTATTTAGTGTTGCCAGACTTTTACGAAGTTAATTCGCCAATTTATGTGTGTTAAGCTTAGAGAATGGAAAAAGTGTTAAGTAGCCAATATTCGCCCGAGCCCTAAAATCCCTAAAAATCAAGGAAAACAATTCTACAATTCTGCTTGCTGCTGGAAATTGGGGAATATGTACTTTCTTATTTCCCCCAATTCACCACACGTAGAAATACTCAAACCCCCAAAAAGAGTTGTCTTACAGCTCCATTCCACACAAAATCCCCAATCAAGTTTGTAATTTCCCAGACATTTTAATAAGTAGCCTAAAATCGCCTTTTCCTAAAGCCTAAATGGCGAAAAATCGCCTAATCGGGCACCACTGCTTCTATCCATATTTTGTTATTGTGCAATAACTCTCCTATATACTTACACATATATCCATCTAGATGTATTTTAGAAAATAATATAAAAATGTTACTGTTGTAATAAAACATTTCTCCTTTAATTACACAATTTGTTTATTTTATATCCCATAGTTCCTCGCCTGATCCTTTTTAACTCTTTCTCCATCTTCCTAATCCCGTTCGTAAATTTGGAATTGATGATAATTTGATAATGATAATATATGTTTCCCTGTTTTAAAAACAAGTCAAAAAACTTTGTAAGTGGCCGAAGCGCAGTATTTCTAGTTACTATGTATACTTATAATTTATTAGTTATTATTCAAAATAAAAGATAGTGCGATCGTTGCAAGTGTGAAGAGATTTGTTATCTATATAATACTGTACTAACGTCCTTTATACTATCATTCCTTTTTGTTCCACTTCCTTCTTTCTGTTGGATTTTCTTTTCCTACTATCGTAAAGCCTTTTGATATCTTATTACCTTGTTATATTAAGGTATAGTGCATACACTTATAAATAATGAATGCCCCAGTTCAAGAAACACCTAAGTACCATTTAGGTATTTTATACCCTACTACCACCATTGGCGAAATGTTAACATTCTCTACGGTTTACTCTCACAGTTTTGTTTCTAATTGAATATTTGAAGTGCATATCAATTAATGAATGTTGCTAGAAGAAATGAGCCAAAAATAAAATTGGACTCAGAACCAAATCTTCGGGACTTAGGGAGTTTTAAACGGGACTTTGGGATTTTAATCATTTTTTCTGGACCTAGGGGTTTTTTTTGAGCTTAATTCTTGAAATATTATAAAATTATTAGCCGTGATTATTAATAAGAAATTTTATGAGTAAAACAACAAATTTAAAGATATAATAGAAAGCCTTTAATCTTATCTTCAGATTAATCTTAATTTTAACAAAAATAAATCCTTACTTTTGGTATGTACGTACGTACCTACCATAAACTAAAGAACGAAATAAGGTAGGTATATACGAAGTACTATGAAATAGCAGAACTAGAATAGCTCCTATTCCTTTTCTTCTGTTTCCTCTTCAGAGTATTCTGCCATTTGAGTATTAATTTCATAAAAACATAGCAAATCAATATTCCAAGAGCTTTAAACTCTTCAGTATCAACTTAGTGATATTTATACATATAAAAAAGATGGACTAAGGGATTTCTTGGACTTAGGGTGATCTTGAAGTCAACTCATTGGATTTGGGAGTTTAATAATTTTGCAAAACATGGCAATAGAACTAATTTTATCATGTAGTTTTAAGCTAATTGTCTCGTAGATAGAGCTCAATAAATAAAAAAAATGTCATTTTGACATATTACGTATTCCGGATGCACACGGCGCCACTGTGTTTCTGTTTTCCCACCATTTGTTCTGTGCAAGAATTATTATTAGTTTTTGATTAGGAGACTTGAATTTTAGTTATTTAAGACATTCGACAAAACAATTACTAATAAGTGACGACCACAAAGGATTAAAATTAATTTACTAATACTATAAAGTCACCAAGTCGTATCGGAACGTCCAGAAAAAACGTCAAGTGAAGTGAATATTTATTGGATGTTCCATAATGATAAAAATCTTGTTTTATTTAAATTTCCTAGTTGTAATCAGTGCTTGAATTGTGATCATCTTTAAGATTATTTTACAGTAAATGACTTCGAAGCCGTGAAGATGTCTAAGGTAACGTATTTTAAGTCCAAAACCATTACCCATGTGAGCCTGTTTTCGCGCAATTATCGTTTTTGTAGACTTCGGTACACAATTTTAATCGTAGAATTTCGCGACATATTTGCAATTTTATTTTATATGGGACAGATCAAGAATATAAAACAGTTACATACAAAAGAACATTCTTTTACTTCTCTCGATCGTCTCAAAAAGATCGTTCAAGCAAAAGCTACGAAAACATCTCTTAAATTTTGCTGAAATTAGGGAAGTTCATGTTTATTTCTTATATAACACAATATTAGGATGAGTATATACTAGACTTGTGCCTGATCGGTCCTTAGAGGGAGCGATCCTAATTAGGGTCGCCACAGGACAGGCTTAGCCTAGTGTGGGCCCACCTGCAAAATGATTCACAATGTTTTCAGGCATGGCATCACATTATCAACGCATGTTTTTGTTAAAGTTTAACACATACTTAATGTTAATTTAGCATAAGTCTCTTGTTGTTTTCTTAAAAATGTAAATATGTTAAGTATTTTGTTTTTCTTTGCGTTTGTGATGCCAAAATAAACATATTCTATTCTGTTCTGTTCTAGTTCAATCGGTCAACTGAACTCTTTGGTCTTCTAGTTTATTTAGTTCATCTAGTTCCTTAGTTAGTTTTCTTGTCCTTGCTCAGACACTGAATGAACGCTCCAAACTGGTCATTTTATTCACATGAACTACTACGGACTTCTCGAATTTTGAGGTCAATAGTACACTGTACTAAATATTTAAAAATACAATTTGTAGAGAATCAGTACTATTTGATTTTCCTTCATATTTTACATGTTTAAAGACTGTCCTTTTATAAATATCCTTTTTTTTTTACAAAATAAGAATTTTAGTTACAACGGTGCGTTTAAAATATTATATTACAATATTTAGGTGCATACTTACAACTATTTCATATACTCATACACATAGGTTGATATTACAGATACCTACCACACCTACCAAAACATAATTATGAGCACTTACTTTTTTGCAAGCTTACATATATACATATACCTTATCTTACATATACCTTATATTACAGATATATATGTATTAGAGACTTAGAACGACTAGGCAATGTTCAATCGTGCATCCCACTTGAACTTGAACTAAAAGCAGTGAAAGATTGCTGTGTTCCGCTTGCAAAGTTCCTACTGAATAAAAGACCATTATTATCAAAATAAAGTTCCTAGTTCGTACTGAAGTAATAAGAATGATGTACTATTAAAACCGTGCAAGATGAACTAGCTTGTGTTGCTCAGTGTCGGGAAAATATTCCTAATAGTTCTATAAAATAATAATAGATATGAAAGCTCATACATGACAACAAAAAAATTGTTTGTGATATTAAAGAGTATTTTTTTCGAAACTGCCGCTGTTTGAGATAAATTGGATTATTTGTGATTACAAGTGGAGTCTCTGTTTTGCGGAGTCCTGGCATAACACCAGCATCACAGGCATCTGCGCCACATATGCTGAGCCAGCACCTTTACACTGCATGACTTACAAAAGGACTTGTAAAATATATTATCACTAGTATCAGGTTTCTTACCGCAGTGTGACTTCTTTTTATTTTCCCGATATTTCGGAACAGTTGCACGCTCCATGGTCACGGGTTGGCTGACCAATGAAATATCGGGAAAATAAAAAGAAGTCACACCGTGGTAAGAAACCTAATACTAGTGATAATCATTTAGTGAATAACCACTAAAGTCTTAAAATCTGTATTGTAAAATATAATTACTGTAATTAATATATTCAGGCGTTACTTTGCAGTAGTCCATGTTAATAAAAATGGAAGTATGCCTACTCCATGAATCCAGTGAAAGTTAAATAGTGCAAAATAGCTGTGCCCACTACCGGGGGTACTTGGTACTTGGTGCAACGGGCTGGTATCCGCAACTCGACGACAAAGCGCCTATTTTGCGTGTGGTGGGTGCAGGGTCCTACTCGTGCCACCCAAGCTCCTCCAGGAATCTCAGCAGTCTCCTTGGTTTGCTGAAGACTTCGGGGAGCGACCTTGGCTCTCCAAGGTACTTTGTCCTGTACCTAAAGGAGACGAAAATTAACTGCATGAAAAAATATTCAACACAAGAGCAGCTATATATTTCGCACAATTTAACCTTCACTGGATTCGCAATTAATTTACCTCAATTTTTATTATAGTTACTGTGGTCTATTTAAGTTGGCTGTACCATAATTTTTATCATCAATTTGTTTGTCTATATCTTTATTTTCATGTCTTATCACATTAGGGAAAGTACAAGGTGAGATATACACAGTCGCTGTTAGTTGAAAGCATATGGAATTTCATCAGTCAATAAAAAAAGACCAATCTGTCACTATTTTTATTTCTTCCTAGGTAGTTAAGGTATGAAGGTACTGCAAGAGAAAAGTAGATATTCTTTTCATTTCATTTCTGTGAACATTATCTTCTTGGTTTCGAGTTTCAGTCATGAAGTGGCTTTTTTGAACTAATGGTGTAATTCAACACAAATATTAGTAAGAAACCTCTACTTATTACATCACTAGCACTTATCAAACATGTCAAAAATTTTATTTACAGGATATAAGATCATATTTCCAACTCAAAAAGCCATCTAAGCCAGTGGTGATTGAAGATAGTGATGATGTTATACCAGAGTCACCTGATATTCAAATAAAAAATAAAGTAAGTGAATTACATGTTGAGTTCTCAGATTTTTGTGATACAAATTGGAATGAAGCTGTTTTTTCAAATCTAAATCATGTATGTTTGTTTATTCAAACATATCAACTTTATGGGCTCTTTACAGGTCCCATGCTCATGGCTTATTGTCAACCAGAGCCCCAAATGTTGGTTTGTTTGAAAAATGAATATATGCACTTTAGATTTGAAAAAAAAAATGTTTAATTTCCAAAGTAAATTATGGTTCATAAATTTTACAATTTCAAAAGTTTATTTTAAAAAGTAATTGATATGGTTTATTTTTACGTGATTATGTATTAAAATGCCAGTCCAGTTGATAAATCTATCTACATTTATAGAAAAAAGAAGCCAGAAAGAAGAGACGCCTGAGCGATTCTGATGACGAAATATTCACTAAAAAGAAAAAACCTAGTGAACCATTAAAATCCGCAAAGAAACCACCAGAACAATCTAAACTAAAAGAAGTTAAGGTGCAGGATTTATTTGGCGATGGCCCAATTAAAAGGACAGAGCCTTTTGTCAAAAAAGCTAAGAAACACACTGAAACAGGCATACACTCTGATGAAGAATTCGAAAAAAGCCTTTTAGAAGTCGATGCGGAGGGATCATCATCATCAATTACTAAATACGAAAAATCTCCAAATATAAATCATGAAAGAAAAAGTAAAACAGATGTATCAAACAACAAGTCACTTATTAAAATGAATGTAGATCACAAATCAAAAGAGAAAAAAGAACATAAACATGAGAAACGGCTCCAACATGAAGACATTGAAAATAAAGATAAGATACATAAAGATAAACATAAGGAGTCCAAGAGAGAACATAAAGAAGATAATAGACATATAGATTTGAAAATAAATAATACCAGGAAAGATCACAAAGGTAGCACTCCAAGTGACAAGTCCCTTATTGATGGAAATCCAAAAACAAAAGATTCAAAAATGGACCGTAAACATATTGAAGAATCTCATAAACATAGAAGTAAAGCTAGTGCCAATGCTTTTGGAAACCAGAAAGAAAAGAAAATGGATACAGATTCAATAGAAAAAACTCAAATAACTTCTGTAAAGAAAGAGAATGGAAAACCTTCAATGGACAAAAAGAGAGACTTTAGTGTGTTTTTAGAAAGTGCAGACTCAAAAGTAAAAACTCAAAGAACTCCTGAAAAGAAAGAGAATGGAAAACCTTCAATGGACAAAAAGAGAGACTATAGCGTGTTTTTAGAAAGTGATACATCTGTTTTGGAAGATCATGATACACCTAGGAGTAAGAAAAAGAAGATGAATAACAGCCTTAATGAATCAGGTAAAGTAATTTTAAACAAGTAACTACGACTGCGAATATGTCTCGACATGACATGTGTCAATGGACAAGCACACTATTCTCTTGCTATGTTTAATCAGTAATAGTTGTAAATAGTACAATTATAATTTTCTAGTTCTCACTGATGAAGAAAGACATGAACGTAGAATGCAATCTGCTGCTCTTTACAAGCAATACTTGAATAGATCTGGACCTAAGCATTTGGGCGCTAAGGAAATTCCTGAAGTAAGTATACACTTCTAAGAGATTTTATATTGAGGGTTTTTCTGTACCATTTGTGGCAACTAAGCTACAATAACGGTCCATTGCTCAAAAGCCTTCCTCGTTAATTTAGAGTTAAGACATGTTATTGTCTGTTGCAAAACTGTATAAACCCTTTATCTTTTTTGTAGCAGTTTTATCATTACTGTAGCAGTAGACCTCACTGTGAAAGAGTTCGTCCAGGGTAGTACTGCTACCTTACCTATTTCTGCTGCCAAGCAGTAATGTGAGCATTATTGGCGTTTTGGAGGATAAGGGTGCTGGTGAAAGTTCAGGCACATGAGACTTATCAACTTATGTCCAGGGTGACAGGCGCAGTGGCAGTGCCACTCGGATGTTTGTAGTTTAAAACTCTGAGTGGCACTGTAACTGTTATCTGTGTAGATACGTAGCAATATGCGTCGCATACGCCATTTATTTATTGAATAATATCCAAGATTTTTATGTTTTTTGTGAAAATACTCCACTATAATTATTAATAGAAAGGTCGAACACTGAGAAAAAAATTCCATCGATCCGGCCGGATTCGAACCGACATCTTCTAGCATACCGTGGCAGACGCTATTGGGGGGCAATAGATCGAAAATATGCCAAAGTGTCCTCCACTAATACAGTGGCAGCTTGTATGTGATTTGTTACAACTTGTAGCTGTTCATGGTGCTTTATATGCGATTTTACTATTACAGCAGTTCCGCCATGAGCTGTTTCAACGGGGTGATTGATTCTTAGTAAAGTATTTCTTGTACCGTGAGTTTCTGAAACGAGAAGAATATCAAGTTTATAAAGATTTAAAAGGTGTTCCACTTCTTGCAAATTGGGTGCTAGCCTATTTATGTTCCATGGTGCTATTTTGAGTGTGGTCATTTTGTCATTTTACTGAGCTGCGTGGTTATGAGATTAAGCAGTGAACTCATTTGTTGTAGGACTAAATCAATCTTTTCTGATTTCTTTTCAATTATGTTTCCAAGCATATGGATATTTGTTGTGGGTTCTGTTTTATGGGGTTCCAAGTTGCTGATTTCAGGCTTCAAGGTTTGAGATTTGGTTACTTCAGAATATGTTCTTTGGTTTACTTCATTTGTCTTTTGTTCTCTGCTAAGGACACGATCCTGATTGTCTGTTTGAGCCTTAGTTGTATCGCGCTGTTCGTTTGAATTGCGAAGATGTGACTGCTAAGAAGTTTTTCTAGCCATGATTTCTTTATAAACTTGGCATCTTTTGTAATTAGCAGGATGAGAATCGAGACACAAGGGGGCACATTGCAGGTGTATTGCGATCTATTTTACGATATTCAGAGGTTTTATGCGACTGAGTGCATTTGACACGACTATACGGCCTTAAGCAGTAGTTTCTTGAGTGGCCATATTGGTGGCAGCGCTGGCATTGGACTATAGTATTTTTCTTTCGGATTTTCTATCAATACTACATGATGGTAGTTTTACAGCATTATTTTCCGGACCTGGTGTTATTTTAACAAAGATTGTTGATGTGGGAATTTTATTTGGGCCATATTTGGCATTTATTATTTCTCCAGCCACAGTATTGCCTGTGTTCTCGATGGCTTTTACTATTGCAGCATGATGTGTTGTAGTAGTTTCTAATAAATAAATAATAACGCACACACTCAACATAGCCCCGTACTAGGGAAACCCTGTGTCGCGGGTGCCATGGACACACACATAAACAACCACAAATTACACCCAAACTCGCGAGAGAAATAATTGTAGGCCATACAACTATTTCTCCCGGCCCGGGAATCGAACCTGGAACCTCTGCGTGGCAGTCCGGCATGGTAACCGTTCGGCTACAGAGGCAGTTTATTGATGTTATGTTATTAATAACTATCCTGTAACATCTATCATCCTTGTTGTTAAATGAATGACCAATGTATCTGATCCATTTTCTCTGATTAGAGCAATTAATGTTTTACAAACTTCAGTATTAGAGCTGTTTATGGTGAATTAGTTTTTACTCACAATTTTATATATTATGTGAACTGTGTTTTATCAGTCTTTAGTTTCTAGCAACTCAGTTAGTTTTTGTATATCTTGAATTCCATATTATATTATTGGTGGTGGCTTTCGAGGTGTTTTGTTCTTAGGTTGTCTGACTTGGTCCCCGTTTGAGCGTAGGCTCAAAGCCTACGCCAAGCCAAGTTCATTAAATCTATTTGAAACAGTAACACTTTCTTCTGGCGGTGGTGACTGCGTAGTTTTTTTCGCTTGTGGCTTCTTGAAGAAGCAACTCTCTGCTATGTTGGGTGACAATTCATTGACTTTTCTGAAGCCATTTGAATGTCATCAGAATTTTCAATTGGCTCATGTGACTGGGATGAGTTACCCTCAGTTTGCACTACCGAGCTATCTTCAATAGATGTGTGCCTTTTTCTGGAATTTACAAATAGACTGGGGCGAAACACTTGTTGTGTCATATTCTTTGGTAATACCATGTTTGGTTTTTTGCCAGTACTTAATTGCGCGTCCTGGCTTGCCGTGTCTGGGCAATTGGAATTTTTTGAGGAATTCATGATTAATTTATGGCAACTCCGCAACTGTCAGGGCACATCTTAAATGACAGTTCTAATATGACGTTAACTTTTATAAACATAATTTGGGGGTAGTTAGTACATTGTCTCGATATATCTCGCGTATATAGTGTAGCTAATTAATGCACTTTTCTTTAGATCTATAACGAGATAACATTCGTACAAGATAATTCAGTTGAAAAGTTCACTGTGGTTTTGCTTCATATAACACAATTTTTCACTGGAATTAAAAATCTTTAAAACCACAATAATTGTTCACTCGTGACAGTTGACAACAGTACGGAGTCCAGTCAGATTAAAGGAATTGTTCTTTGTTTTTGATCCTCATATCTATTATAATTAAGATGTTAAACTTTGATCTTGCATTGCAGGGTACCCCGGAGTGTTTAGCAAATTGTGCATTCCTGTTAACTGGCGTGCTAGATTCCTTTGACAGGGAACAAATAACAGCTGCAATTGTACAATACGGGGGCAGTGTCAAGAGTGGTATAAGCAAGAAGGTATGTACAAAACGCGTTATGAAATACTGTAACCCGAATTTAATTTGCGTATGAGATTAATAGTAGGTTTACTAATATTTTCTTAAGTCCGAATTTCAGAGTATTCGTACTTGGAAATTGGAAGTTGACGAGAACTTTGATAACCAACGTAATTCTAACGTATTAGGGCGCGTTCCCACTGTGTCGTGACGACAGATTGTAGTGCAGTTTACAGTGTCGTGGCTTGTATATTTAAATGAAGTTGTTCCCATATAGCACGACACGATTAACTGTCATATAACTGTGATATAGTTTAATAATGATATTGAAACGCAGGTAACTCATGTGCTGGCAGGAGAAGACTCGGGTCCAGCGAAAATGGCAAAAGCTCAAGAGCTAGGCATCAAAATCATTGGTGAAGATGAATTCTTACAAATGATAATTGACAACTCCAAAAAGTCTAAAGTTCAATCAGAGTCTAAAGCGGAGATAAAGAAAGAAAAAACTCCCAAGCGATCTGATAAAAAGAGCCCAAAAGATTCTAAAAGTATTGACAGTATTAAAATAAAGGAAGTAAAAACTAAAGATATAGTTAAAGTTGAGAAAAATCGTGCCAAAAGTAAAAGTCCTCATAAAGGTGAGGCGAGGCTTAAAAATCAAAGTAATCATGAAAATAAATTAGCAAGTGACACTAAATCGGAAGAAAAGTCCAAATCAAGCACTTCTATCAAGCCAGAAACAAGTATTGTGAAGAAAGAAGGTATATATTGTTCAATAACCAAAGGAAGTGACCACACTTATCGACACGAAACAGCAGTTGACCGATCAGAAACATGTTTATGTCCATGAAATAAGAGCTAAAAAGACGTACGTTTCGAGTCTTTTTTGCTTACGTTACATGGATATTTTTCTGATTTTTCTGACAGGGTCCAGCAGGATGTAAAAATTTTTTTTACTAGCTCGAACCGTATGCTTTGTGAAGCTTTTTCTTATTGACTTAAGCCCGATGTAAAGCATTTTCTGACTGGCTCAAGCTAGATGTAAAGCTTTTTCT